TATTAGTAGTAAAATTTAAATTATTAATTTATTAAATCTAAAATTTTTTAAATTAGCATCCAACACTACAAATTTAATTACCTTATAAAATTTATCAATTTTATTTTAGTGTTTTAAATTCTAAAAAAATTACTCTCTTGATCCCAGCTTAATTATTGTTTTTTTTAAATTAAGAATTTAAACATAATTACTAATATATTTACTTAGTTATTGTAATAAAATGAATAATTAAAATAAAAAAATAATGATAAAGTTAAGGTTAAAGAAGTTATTTGTCTATTTTAAAAAATAAAAAAGACAATTAATTTAAAATTAATTAAAATGGTGAATTGAGTTTTATTGGGTTTAGTATTTTTTTTTTGCTGGGTTTTTAGTTATAACTAAATCTTAATTGAGTAAGTTTTGATTATTAAGATTTAGCGTTTCATTTGATAATACTAGTTTATAATTGCAACATTAAGTTTTTCAATCTTTTAATATTTTAAAAATATGTAAAATATAAAATATATTATATATTTTTTATTTATTTTAATTAATATTTTATATATTTTTAAAATAATAAAAAATATAAAAACTAAAAGGTAAGACATCAAGAAATGCTATTAAACAAAATCTCAAAAACTAAAAACTTGATGCTAAGTCGAGTATAACTGATTTTTTAGACTTTCTTAAAAACATTATTGATTTTTAAGCTTTCCAGTCCATTTTCCAATTTTTTTGGGCCTTTTTTGAATATAATTTTTAAATTTAATGTTTTAAGAAATTTTTTTATCTCTGCTGCTCCCGTTCCTGCTCATTCTCGCTTCTAATAGTACCTGCATTTAATATTTTGGTTTTTTAATTTAAACCAAAATCAAACCAAATAATTATTTTAAAAAATAACTAAAACTAAAAAAATCCAATAATTTTAATTTAATTGATAATTACTAAAAAAAAAAAGTAATAATTCAGTTAACTAATAATATAACCTAAATCGAAAGTTGTACAGCCCCCTATATGAGGGGACCATTGCTAGGTCAATTATTGCCAACAATAAAAAAATAAAAAATAAAAACAATCATTTTATTACAATGGGTCTAACCTATGTCGACCCTTTACAATAATTTACTCATTTCATTTACTTTTTTCCATTCAATTGCCAACGGTAATCACGTGACTACTCTCTTTAATCAGTGTATAAGTAGTTGGACTGATTCCCTGTTTTTAATGATTAGAATAAGTGCAATGAATCTACGTTTGAAACTAAATTTTAGGGTGAGATTTTGAAAAA